TTTGTTGAATTCTGTTTGCTGGTATCTTATTGAGGATTTCTGCATCTATGTTCATTAGGGAGATTGGCCTGTAGTTCTCTTTTTGGTTGTATCTTTCTCTGGTTTTGGTATCAGGATAATAGTTGCCTCCAGGAAAAAGTTAGGGTATATTGCTTCCCTTTCAATTTTATTAAAGAGTTTGAAGGGTACTGACATTATATCTTCTCTAAATTTCTTGTAGAATTCAGCAGTGAATCCATCAGTACCTGGGCTTTTCTTTGTTGGTAAGTTTTTAATTACGTTTTCCATTTTGTTGGCTGATACTGGGTTATTCAAGATTTTTATATCTTCTTGATTCAGCTTTGGTAATTCATATGTATCTAGGAATCTGTCCATTTCTTCTGTATTTTCATCCTATGAGAGTAAAGGTTTTCAAAGTAAGTATTTATGATCTTCTGAATTTGCACAGGATCTGTAGTGACTTTACCCTTATCATTCCTCAATGCATGAATCTGAGTCTTTTCTTTCCTTTTTTTTTGATAAAATTGGCTAAGGGTTTATCAATTTTATTTATTTGATCAAAGAACCAACTCTTTTATTCATTGATTCTTTGTATTGGTTTCTTGGTTCCCTTTGTGTTAATTTCTGTTCTGATCTTTATAATTTCCCCCCTTCTGTGGGTTTTAGGTTTGTCTTGCTCTTCTTTTTCTAGAAGCTTGAGGTGTAATATTAGGTTATTTGTGTTTTCCTGATTCTGTTTTCCTGATGTGAGAATTCATTGCTATCAATTTTGCTTTTAGAACAGCTTTCATTGCATCCCATAGGTTCCAGTATGTTCTTTGCATTCTCATTTCGTTGCAGATATTATTTAATTTCTTCCTTTATTTCATCTGTGACCTATTGGTTGTTTAGGAGGGTGTTATTTAATTTCCATGTGTTTATGGAATGTATGTAGTTTCTTTTGGCATTAATTTCTAATTTCATTGCCCTATGGTCAGATATTATGCATGGGATAATTTCAATCTCTTTGCATTTACTTAAGCATGTTCTGTGGGCTAATATGTGGTCTATTTGAGAACCTTCCACATGCAGCTGAGAAGAATGTGTCTTCTGATGATGTTGGCTGGCACTGTCTAAAAACATCTACTAAATCCATTTTTTCACAGGTTTGGTTCAATTCTGCTATTTCATTGCTGATTTTTTGTTTAATGGATGTATCTCTTTGTGACAACAGGGTATCAAGGTTTCACATTACAATTGTGTTATTGCTTATGTGACTTTTCACATTTGTTAATATTTGTCTTATGTAGTTGAAATACTAATTGTTAAGAAGTAAGATAGCTAACAGGAAATAAGGTGATCAATCCTTTGCAAAAGGGAAGGGGACCAAGAGATGAAGAATAATGATAAAAATTAAGATTTATTCTGTACATGTACCAACTCCCTGTGAAGAATATGATTCTTATGCACTACAAACATGTATCAGAAAATTTAAAAAAGACAAAAGACAAGCAATACAAGAAAATATAAAAAATCACAGGGGGGGCTGGGGATTTAGCTCAGCGGCAAAAGCGCCTGCCTGGCAAGCGCAAGGTCGTGAGTTCGGTTCCCGGTACCGGAGGAAAAAAAAAAAAAAATCACAGGGGAAGAAATAATTAGACACATCTAATGAAGTCTTACAACTTAGTGGTATTGAAAATAGTGTCCCTGCTCTGGGGCATTTTAAGTCCATTTTTATGAGCCAATATCAATTTCTAACCAACTTGTATCATCCTAATTGTTGTGGCTCAGGCATCTGCTTTAAAATAAATAAACCAGGGCTGGGGATTTAGCTCAGTGGCAAAAGCGCCTGCCTGGCAAGTGCAAGGTCGTGAGTTCGGTTCCCGGTACTGGAGAAAAACCAAAAAATAAAATAAAATAAAATAAAATAAATCAACAAAAGAAGCAGGGACTGTTGAAATGAATTCAATTTTGAAACGTATTCAATATCCCATAAACATTATTCCACGCCCATGAGTTTGATGATTATTTCACATTTTTAAATGATTTTCTAGGTAACATTCACTTTCTCAGCCAATGATTTTGTGTATATTCTATTGGGAGCAGTCGGAAATTCATGAAGTCCTGATTTGTTCGTTTTGATACTAAGGTGTAAAATATATTAAGAACATTAAATCAGTGCATAGAAAGCTCATTTCTTTCTGTGTGGTCACTTGGGAAGACCAGGTAGAGGCAGAACTCATCTGAGTTTCTCTAGCCTCCAGTGTCTCATATATATATTTTTTGGCTCATATATTTTTATATTTTAGTGTTTTAAAAAATGTGACATCTATACATCTACAAATAAATACAAGACAAAAATGCCTTTAAAATGCTTATCAATTAAATTTTTCCATATGTCTATGACCAGTTGAAGAGAAATAAACAAAATTGAAGACTACCTCTTTGAACGTTTCCTTTTGAAATATCTTGCATACAATTTAAAAATAGACCTTGGGGTGTAATTAAAATATAAATCTCAAGAGATCAAAGGGGCTAATTGATTACTGTTATTATGTGGAGAGTTTCCAAGTTTGAGGAAGAGATGTGAGTATAAGAAATCTGCACGACACACTAGATTTCAGAAGAAACTTGTTTGTCATGGGGTTGCTTTAGAAATTATAAAGAATTAAATTAATCCTGACTATGATGCCAGGTTCAAGCTAATAAAAATGATTTTAATTACCTAGAAGGCATAGCAATAATCTTACTTAATTTAGCTCTAATTTCTACCCTTCCAAGGGAGGTACTTGATACAATACCAACAACTATCATCAAAACCACAAGTAATTTTATTAGCCTCGTAATACCTGTGGAAGTTTATGATAGAGGAAACAGAGCTATGTGCTAAGTAACAGCTGAAGCAGCACCAGCAGTAACAGTTCCAGCCACTGGACTGGCTACTCCTGAGGTCCACAACTGTAGACGAGAGGAAATAATAGACCAGAAATAGGTGGAGGAGAGCTGCAAGAGAAGTGGGTTTGCTTTGAAAATCTGAATCCCGGGTAAACCTAAGTAAAGCACCTTCTTATTTTCATAAAGTACGTATGTATGTGTGTGTGTGTGTGTGTGTGTGTGTGTGTGTGTGTGTTCCTCTCACTGAATTTTTTTTTCTTTTTCATTTGTTGACATCTTTCAGTAGACCATAAGAAAAATAGAGTGATACACAAGACAGAGTACTTATGTTGATTAAATACTTGTTAAATTAATGAATGAATAGGAACACTGGGGGCATGAGAGATTTTAAATAATTAATCGCAGTTAATATGCCTCACGTCCCTTTGGGTTACTATGGTAAATGCTTAAGATGAATATGATTGAACTACGCATGCTTCTTTTGAGTTTCTGTATTTGTCACATATTTTTTCCTGTTTTTTGTTTTCTTAGCACATTTTTACAGTACACGATGGTTACATTTAACTTGGGGAGTCGAAGTAATTTCTCTAATATCAGTGCAATCCACAGTTTAATTCTGTTTTAACTTTTTAGTAAATTTTTAATTATCATTGCCTTGGAAACCACTGCTCAGCAGTGAAGCAGTTCTCACAGGATGTTATTTGTAACTTACACTGGAAAAAATTCAGGTTTCAAAAAAACCATCAGGAAGTAGCTTATGTTATCAGCTAAGGCCTTCAAGAGGCCTTACATCACCAACAGAGATAAGGAGTAAGTGAAAGGAAAAAGATAAGTATATAAATATGTTTGCATTAATATGTAATGAGCATTTGACGGAGTTTATTCATTGTGGGGTTGTTTGTTTGTTTTTGGGTTTTGGTTTTTTGCTTCATGTTGTTTTGTTTTTGAGACAGGGTCTCACTCTCTAGTTCAGGCTAGCCTTGAATTCTCTGTGATTCTCTTGCCTCAGCCTCCAGAGTGCTGGAATACAGGCAAGCACCACCAAGCCTGGCCAAGGCTGACCTTTCTACTTTTCTTTTTGGAATTTTTTCAAGCTTTACTGATGATACGAGAGTAATTGTGTCCATCTAAGTTTCTACTCACCTGCAAAAATGCATCTGGAAACTATGTTATATGTTTAAAAAATAGGACTGTGAAACAAAAGCATCATTAAATGCATAAATCATAGTTTTTGTTTGTAGACAACGCTTACAGTTTTGAAGAGTGTGATATAATAAATTATACTAAGTAATTAGTTGATTCTGTGATTCATGGGCTTAAGTGATAGACTAGTGATAAATCTCTGTAGGAATCTCCTCAAATCCATCCAGATGGCAATATTTATAGTGCCACCAATTCTATGCAACTGTGGATTTCAAAATGCCTACCAGGTCTGTATAAACTAAACATGAGTGTAAATTTTAACTAACTTACAGTCAGCAAATATTTGTTCTCCAGCAAATATGTTGTCCTTATAGGAGTGTAAGTGAGCTCTGATTACTCCACCTTTGGATCGGAGTCTTTCTCTAACTTTCCTTTGTCCTTTAGCAGGGATGCACAAAGCCTGGAGTTAGGAGTTGTCAGAAATGGCTGGGAGCAATTTCACTGAGGTGACTCTTTTCAGCCTCTCTGGATTTGCAGATCACCCTGAACTACAAGTCAGCCTGTTCCTGGTGTCTCTGTTCATTTATCTCTTCACTGTTTGGGGGAACCTTGGGCTAATCGTGCTAATTAGAGTTGACTCTCAACTTCACACACCTATGTACTTTTTCCTTAGTAACTTAGCATTCATCGACATCTTTTATTCTTCTACTGTAACCCCCAAAGCCCTGGTGAGTTTACAGTCCAAACAGAAATGCATCTCTTTCGTTGGCTGCTTTGTTCAGATGTACTTCTTCGTTGGTTTGGTCTGCAGCGAGTGTTTTCTGCTCGGCTCCATGGCCTACGATCGGTACGCAGCCATCTGCAATCCTCTACTGTATCCGGTGGTTATGTCCCGGAAAGCGTGCAGCTGGCTGGGCGTGATGCCCTACGCGGTAGGCTTCACCAATTCCCTGGTCTCCGTGTGTGTGATAAGCAGTTTGTCCTTCTGCGACTCAAGCATCAATCACTTTTTCTGTGACACCACGGCCCTTCTGGCTCTGTCCTGCGTGGACACCTTCAGCGCAGAACTGGTGATCTTTGTGTTAGCTGGGTTCACTCTCCTGAGTTCTCTCCTCATCATCGCCGTCACTTACATCGCCATCATCTCAGCCATCCTGAGGATCCAGTCTGCAGCGAGCCGGCAGAAGGCGTTCTCCACCTGCGCGTCCCACCTGACGGGTGTGACTGTCTTCTACGGGTCCCTGATTTTCACATACTTGCAGCCTGATAACACTTCATCCCTGACTCAGGCACAGGTGGCCTCCGTCTTCTACACCGTGGTCATCCCGGCGCTGAACCCTCTCATCTACAGCCTGAGGAACAAAGATGTGAAAATCGCCCTCCTGAGAATCATGCATAGAACAGTGTTTCTGTGAAAGATTGTGCATGTTACACTTGAAAGAAACCTGATGCCTCCAGGCATTTAATCACCCAACTGTCAGGGACACTGTGGAGCACCTTCCAAGGTGTGACACGAACTAGGGGAACTTAGGACCTGGAAATTTGGGAGCAGTGGTTATTTCATTTGATGATGTATTATTAAATTTGTATATTTAATTTGTTTATCTGTGTCATGGAGTTAGGTACTTCGAGCTCTTCCATTTTTTGCACACAGCAGAGATGAGGAAGCGAAAGATGCATCTGGATTTCCACAGGTGAGCACACACATTAGCACATTTAAAAATTGTTAAGCTCCCTTGATATGGTCTGACACTATCAGCTATCAGAAAATAGAGAGGAAAGAAATAAAAGATTAAGGAAAAGCACACTAGACTTTTGCTAACAACCCCAAATGGTAGCTCAGAGAGAAAAGTACTTTACTTATAAATGCATATATATGTGTGTGTGCATGGGTGATTTCAGTACAAACAGAACAGACGAGGCAGCACAGAGAGATCTCTGCATTTCGTGGAGTCATCGGGTCACACCTCACATTTTTTACCATGATTTTTGATGGCAGTTTTGGACTTACAATGGTTTGACTTGTAGATTTTTGTTTTACTCTCTCATTGCGTAAAAATGATACACAATCTTTAGAAACCCTACTTCAGATTTAAATTTTGACCTCTGCTCGTGCTGGCCACACACACACACACACACACACACACACACACACACACACAGATAATCTCCCCTGTGTGAGACAGTAGTGTGGCTTACGGCCAGCTGCAGGTCATGAGGGGAACAAACGGACTCCTCGGTGCACTTGTGCTGCCAGCATTTCGGGCAGATAGTCAGAATTACAGAAAATGTGCTTGCACTAGGTAAATCACCCTATGCTGGTTTCGGTCTCCTGAATAACTTTACAGAAGGTAAAGCTAAGCCATGATGATTGATAACTTTGAGGTGTTTCATTTACAATGTTTTCTTTCTACGCCGAGTTTATCAGAAGGATATAACCTATCTTAAGTCAAGGAACAGTTGTACCTAGAAATGTGATCTATTTATAAAGTATACTTTCTGGGGCTGGGGATTTAGCTCAGTGGCACAGTGCCTGCCTGGCAAGCCTGAGGTCGTGAGTTTGATTCCAGGTACCAGAAAAAAAAAAACAATAAAATAAAATAAAATATACTTTCTACCAGAAACAGCGGACCACACTTCATAATCAGAATGTCTCTCTGAACCCAAAGACTTGATAAGAATTTTGGAATAATTGTAAATATGTGTACCCTTGTATGTGTGTGTTTGAAATGTTACAGGTAGGTAAATGAAAAGTAAGGTGTAAGGAAATCTTTAAATATATTTTGCAGATCTATAGAGATTCTCATTCTCAGATCAGAAAGCCATCAGTAAATGATTAGTACTAAAGGAACAAGTTCAGTATGTATGTGAATTATTTTCCAATAGAGTATCTAACACTTCATGAAATTTCTCTAGTATTTTTAAAAAACAACATTTGGGAAAATATATCACTGAATATTGTATTAACTATTTATAAATCATGGAATAGTAACTTGAGTTGGACTATGATATGCAGAATGTATATTGAAAGAAACCACAAAAGTTATTTGATGACACATTTACAAGGAAAATAATTGTACTTAAATTTTTGCTCCAAAAAACTATATGTTCTTTTGTTTATCAGTATTTATAGTCCCAGAAATACCTACAAATATAACAATACGATTTGTACATAAGTGCTTTCTTTGTGTTAATGGTGGCCTTTCAAAGTACAGTGGTACATTCTTTAAGGTAAAGGATTCTGTCTTATGTATATTTCTTTGATGTGCAGACATTTTTGCACAGATAGTGTTTTACAAAATAGTTTGTTAAAAATTTTTGTTTCTAGAATAATTTCTTGAAACATTTTATGGTAAAATGGCAGGATAATTTGCATTCCTTATCAAGTGTTTTTTTCTGAATGGTTATAATGTATTAATTATGTGCAAGTTATACGTTGCAAATACATAGAACTTTAAGTATCTGGGGTCACTGGTTAGGAGATCTCATACCTCCTATGTCACTTCTTTCCTCTCAGAAAGAGAACAAGTGGATGAAAGTAGTTCATGCTGTTGCATGTGGTATTTCCTGTATTCTTATTACACTCACTTTCTAGCATGTTGTACAATTATTTTAGGAACCTTTATTTCTACCTGCTTAGAATTCATAATCATAAATACTATAGTTGATTTAAGACCAGACATCCATATCAGCATTTGAATTTTTCATTTTTACAATCTTTGAGTTATTTATACTCTTTGATTACAAGTAAGCCATACATTTTAATAAATTTTCAAAGCTGAATTTAGGCCTATTTTCTGACCAAAATACAATATAACTTAAGATTTATATTTAAAAATAGCAAAATATGCCATTCACAGTTTTTAAAAGTTAAAATAATGTTACATTATTCTTAGTGAAATGAATTAAAACTTTAGACTACATATGCAAGGTGGTAGAATAGGATTAAGCAAGAATATATATATGTATATATATATATATATTCATTCATATATATATATATGAATGAATGGAGTGGGATGACCCTGACATAAATATTGCAAATATTAAATCTACTGTTATTAAACAAATAAAAAATAAACATGATAATCAGTTACTATTAAGTTCTAGAGAAAGAATAATTTCAAACTAGTACAGTAATGCAATAAAATTAATAAAACTAATAGAAATTTTTAAAATCTGGTATTTATCAAGAAAGAATATAATTAAAATCAGCATAAAGAAATCTACAAACTCTAACATGCTGGATGTGCTAATTATTCAGTATCAAGGGATACACATCATACATGCACCAGCATATCACACTCCACCTCATGAGGACGTGCAAATATTGAATGTGGCTCAAAATATAAAATATAAAATCCTATTCTGTTTTCTAAGGAGCTGAAGACTTTAAAAAAGAGTAAAAATATTACAGCAGAGGAAGGGATACAGATGGGGGAAACAGAGAGAGAGGAACAGCATAGTTTAAAATCTGATGGGCTTGTAAAAAAACCATTCTATTTTTTTAAAGAGATATAAAAACTATATAGAATTTAAAAATGAGATGATAGGAAATTAACAATGGTTGTTATACGGCACATTGTTATCTTCAAAGCAGTTGCTCAGATTACCACCTAAAGACGTGCAAAATTAAGCAAACAATGTAAGCACTCACGGTTCCTTTCAATGAACAAACAGAAATTAGCTGTAACAATTATCTTAGCCATCTATTGTTTAAATTGAAAGGGATTTTAAATGTCTTTGGTGACTGCCCCGAAGCACTTCTTGTGCGGGATTACCCTGCCCTCATCAAAAGTGCTAAGCCTCAGCAGATAGAACAAGCATGTTATCTATCCTGTATATACATACATACAAAATTTCTCCTTCTTTCCCTTCTCTTTTCCCACATCCCAGAAGCCCTTTACTCTTCTATCTGCTGTTTCTATGCTGAAAGAAACTGTCAATGAGTCTTTGGTTGACCAGTATTGCATGTCTATATCTGTTTTCATGAGAAGCCACTTTGAAGATATCAATATGTAATACAACCACCATTGTTAATTCCCTACCACTTTGTTTGTAACTCTGTATTGTCTGTATTGTGCTTGTGATATGTTGTAAAATGTTGTATGTCTGTTAATGTTTCCCTCCTTTTATCCTTAAAATAAAATAAATAAATTTAAAAAAAAAAAAAAGTGCTAAGCCTGATTCAGACGGGTTTCCGTATTCAGAAACCTTTGCACAGCAAAACCTTGCTTGTGAGATTTTTTTATAAATATTTTCATTTTATGGAAATATTAAATATTTCATGACAGATATTGCTTATTAATGTAATACTGTCATAAAACGTCATCTAGGCTTTTCATTTACCTCAACCTCAAGGTTACTTTTTGGTTTTCTAGTTTGATGATGGCTTTCAAAGCTCCGAATAACCCTGTCCCAGTGTAAACTAAAACGCTGATGAACAGCGATGCCCTTCCACAAGTTCATCAAAGAAAATACTTACAGGAGTAGTTTCTTTGTCTACCACAAGAAATTCTCTCCTAAAATTCTTGAGCATGTGTACATTTTCCTGAAACAGCCACTTTAATATTGACATGCACTTTGATCTGTTCCTCAATGAATGCAAGATCCACAAGAACATTTTTGTCTGATTCTCATTGTATAGTTTTTGCTTCTTTGCTTCTTCATTGTATGTAAATAATCCTTAATGAAATATTCCAGCCATATGATTATATTTGAGTTTCTTTTCATTATGATTTAAGAAAGTATGTGACCTGTTTATATAAACTGTGAGTGAGCTGTTGCCTACTAAACTATTATAGGCTGTTTCCTAGTCTCAGGACTGAAGCAGTCTTTTGCTCTAGTTGTAGTTTTGTAACAGTAAAATAAAATCAAGAATACCGAGATAGGCAAGCACATGGGATCAGTACTGCATGCAGGCGATGTGGGTGACATTGGCCAGGATGGGGACCTGTGTCTTTTCTGTGATGCAGAATAGTGTCTATCAGCGGGTGAGTGTTCAGTTCACTTCGCGCAGGATGGAACATCCCCAAGCACATAATCTGTGAAGGAGAGGGCTAATAAATGATTAACATACTATGGGTCATGCCATATTATGAAATATTAGTTCTAAAAGGAAGATACTGATTATATAGTATAACAATAATTTGGCAAATATATAATTGCATATCTATATAATTATTATGGAATATAAAGAAATGAATGGGAGAAATCGTAATTATGTCAAAAAATTTTAAAAGTTTTAAATTGCTTTTGAAGGTTCCTTTGAAGTTTGATTTTTTCTGTTTTTCTTAAGTAGGTATGTTTTATTCCTATGGTAGGGTCATGCTGTTAAGTAAAAAGTGCTACATAGTGAAAAGCTATCATTGCATTCTTAGGAATGTTATTCACAAAGTAGCTAAAGATTTCTCTG